AAACAGAATGTTCTCTAATAAGAACCCAAATTGGTACTCCTTGATAAGGGTTCTGAATTGTTAAGAGTTTACTCAAAACCAGGGTTTCCTATCCTCAAAGAATAAGGGAAGGTGATGCTGTGGGAAGTTTGCGTAGGAAAATTTTGAACTAAGAAATGATACAAATCACCAGGAAGGTAGCACAGGCAGATTTTAAGTCCATGTTGCTTCTCTGAAGCAGTTCTTGGGGCTCTTGTGAGAAATAAAGGCTGGCCAGAACCAGTCAACAACATAACCAAGACAGCTTTGCAAAATGATGGTTCATTTGCAGAGTAACTTCTCTTTTTTTCTTTTGAGGTGGAAAGAGGGAAGAATTTAAGTTGAATTGGAAATGGGACAGCTTCTAACCCTGGTTAGAAGCTAGAAGCCCAGTGAAATAGGTGTCATTGGAAATAGCTCCAGATATGATTAACGAGGGGCTGAGCAGAGCATCCTACAGAACCTAATAGAACACTAGTATGGTTGACAAAAAACAAATTGGGTTTCTAAGGCTTCTTGAAACCATTACATAAACTAAAACATTATGGCAGGATGTTCCACAGGAATCCTGCATTACCTAAAAACGGAGTCTGTATTCTAAGAAATTTCAACTTCTCAAAGCCTTAATAGGCTAAGCACTATTTTAGCTTTCCAAAAAGCAGCATACGTCTTATCTCATGATAGAACTTTTCTATTTTTGTCTTTTTAAAAGAAAAGCTCAAGGAAACATTTATTCAGTTTTGGACTAAATGAATAGGCAGAATAAACAAAAGCTGTTCTAAAATCTATTAGTATCCTACCACTAGCTCCCACCCCGGAAAGGATTAACACAATGTGAGAAGCACATATTAAGAGTTTCTTGTTTGTCATTAAATATTTTAGGAGAAAATTTATCCTTTAAATGTTAACTCACTCACTTCATAGGTACTTTTAATTATTTCTTCATTTTTAAAATCTGGAATTTATGTTCCCTGTGATTTTTTATGATTTGAAGAGTTTCTCAAACTTAAAATGTCTTATTTTCTTTGTGAACAGAGTATGGATGAAAACCCATTACCAAAAGAGGTTATGAAATAACAATACTCTGCCTTGTTGGGTGGGTGTTGGTGAACACCCAAGGGAGGCAGTCCTGCCCAGCAATCTTCTCCACAGGCACACCATTCTGTGATTTAGAACCAGCAGTATTGTACCTCCATATTTCATCAAGATAGGGTTGTCATTTATAGGTAATGTATCACTTGCTTAAAATAATTATTTCCCAAAATAAAGAAACAACATACTTATATGTTTTTTTTTCCCCTCCTAAAATGCTGAAACCATCCCAGAATGCCTAGAGATAGTATGAAGGCAGCAACTGAATGCTACCCCATCTCTTGCGTTGCCCTCCTTAGGGATGAGGCCTTCATTGAACTTTGAATGGAACTTTTTGGATATTTGCATCAAGAGAAAGGAGAAGCTCTTTGGTCAAAGCTCCAGTGAATTACAGATCTTAGGAATCCCAAACACTGCTGGTCTAGTCCTTCCCCTCAGGATTTCCAGTGGTTGGAAAAACTGCTTGTTAGGAAAGACAATTTAAAAGAAAAGATCTCAGTCCATTTGTCTCAGGACAAGTACTTCTTCAAATTTTGAGAATATTAGACCTCTGGCAAGTAAGAATAGATACTGTATTAAATTTGACAAAACAAGATATTCTCAGATGTTATAGCCTGTTGTAATTGATCCTTAGAAGTCTGAAAGTATAGCTTAATATATAAACACATTATAGTACTCAATAATCTACATGATTCATAGACCAAATCAAAGATAATACTTCAGATTCACAAACGATAGGAATTATAATCCCAGGGGGTCATATCCTACAATAGTCAGGTCTCATATTTCATGCTAAAACTTTTCTACCTTTCTTTTTTTAAAAATAGCTCAAGGAAACATTTAGTTTTAGACTAAAGGAATAGGCAACATAAACAAACTAGGAGTTCAAATTCACAGGGGCTTGTTTTCCAACTTAGGGTGCAGGTCAGTGGTAGAGCACATGATTAGCATGCATAAGGCCCTGGTTTCAATCTCCCATACAAAAAAGTAGAAAAAAAGAGAGTTTTGTTTTTAAATCTTTTTTGTAGGGTAGCCAACATCGAGGCTCTTCACTGACAAACATCCTAGGCTTTCATCTTTAAATAAACATTGGTTCTTTTACTTTTTTTGGACATTTGGCCTTAAGCAGGTCCGATGTCCTCCATACACACTGAAAGCTACAAATAAAAAGAACTCTGTGGGGCAGCACGTGAATAAACAGCATAGACCAAATATAGCACACAACCTGTTGACACTCACAGGCTTACATAAGCAAGGAATATTCACCACACCACTGAACCAGACATTTTTTCATTTTTGTTTGTTCTACCTTGGCCCAATAGTACATTCCTAATAGTTTTTAAAGGCTGTATTCAAAATCATGGAAGTATAACCAACTTATGTTGAAAAGAAATAAGTATATTAAAAGAAATCTGAGTTAAAAGTTTTATTCATTCAACATCTCACATTACAAATATTTAAAAATTATATGCATACTGGTATAAATAGTCATTTGCAAACTATTTAATAACATTAATTTTCCACTAGCACTTCAACAAATGAACTCTCTTTAAAAAAGGAACTGTTATATAACTTAAGAGTAGAACATACAAAAATAGGAACTTAACGTGAAAATGACTTTAATAAAAAATGAATTACCCTTATTTAAAATGCTATAATAAATACTACAACCTCCCCATACACAGTAAAAACTATATGTAAATTCAGCCAAGTAGTACAATTAACTGACGTACTTAAATAACTTTTCCTTCTGATAATATGAGCAATACACTGGAAAAAAAATTAGGGATTAGTAAAAACTAGACACCCACTTGCTAAAAGTTTCACTTCCAAAAAATATAACAAAAATCTGATGAAAATTATAAAAACTAATTATACTTTAAATTTTAAAAATATAAAAAATAAAACAGTTGAATACAATATTGTTCCAATTCTTACAATGTTATCAATCACAGTAGCTTTAAAATAAGATAATAAAATAAAGCAAATGACCAAAACCTCTTTTATTCCATTTTTTAAAAATAATCTCAAATTTACATTAGTAGAAAGATTGATTTCTGATTCTTTTCTTTAGAAACACCAGCAAGAAAGAGGATTACTCTTAACAGTAGAAAATGACATTTTTAAATGTCTGCAATTAAAAACAAAGAATTACACTGCAAAGATCTTTCAAAAGTTTGAAATAAGTATTGCACATAACTTGAAGTTAACTTGCCACAATTCATCACATTCAAGTTTTAAATCACCTTTTCACAGAAGATTCAACTCTTCAAAACAAAAGGGGTGAATTATCAAGTCTTTCCAACAGCACTCTCATAAAATGCTAAATTCATTCACTGCAAGTTTTATTTTGCATTCTGCAGAGGTCTGTGTATGGAGAAGTATATATATTATACCAAAGCATGGGGACAAGAAGGGGGAGGGAGAGGGTTCCTTTACATAGAAAATAATCAGAAACACTTTATTTTACATTGCAAAAATAACCATGTAATTACTCTGTAACTACATTGTAAGTACATGGCTAGTGCCATGCTAGTGCGCTAGAACTACATGCTTGGTAAATTGAAGTGATACACTAAAATCTGTAAACTAATTACATGTTAATTATGTTTGAGTTACATGGTAACTCCCAACTACAATCCCATGTAATCTGAAGGACATGTAATCAATAAAGTTCAGAGTAATAGATAATCATTGTGTATGCCCTGTAAATTGAAGTATAACCAAATAATCTGTAAACACGCTTGTCACACAATCACAAGTAAATATTAGTAGAATAACAATTTCTTACATTAGTCATGCATACTAACATTACGCACCTGTCCCACGGCAGGCTATTTTTTTCTTATATATAATTTAAAAGAGCAGACATTTCTGAATCAAACACTTAACATCAATTTATTAAGATTAAAAATGGCTAAACATTCACCAAAAATGTCTGCATTTTATGAATAATTTTAAAAACTTAGTAAGAAGCTGTAGACAATTTCGTTGTTTTAAATTCTACCCTATGTTTATGCATTTAATTTTTTTTAGGAACTACAGTGTTATCTGTCATTTTCATGCAATTTTTTTTCATTAATTTGTGACTTCATATAGACTATTTCTTAAATTATAGGTACACCAATAGCTGGTGCTGGGGAAGGGTGTTTAAGCAACATGCTTTCTCTTCTCTGCAGACTCTAAATAGCATTGCCAGTGCACAACATTCATAATTTAAAATGTATGCAGAGCACTGAAATGTATAAAAAGCAGAATATAAGAAAATAAAATTTATTAAAATTATTTATATTAAAAAATGAAGTATATGAAGATCTCTCAGTAATAAAAGTACAAAAAGCTACTCTTTGCAATATGAAAAATTGAGGTATTGCATAAAGAGATATCCCGTCAGTGAAAAGTGTGCCTAAAAATGTTCACTGTTGGAAAAACAAGATATACAAAAGTAGTGCATAACAAATATACATTATGTGCATGACAAAATAAGTTAGCTACAAAAACACTGTACCGAAATTCAGCAGGTCATGTACAAAGGGAAAAATCATTATTCAAAGCTAGTTCTCAAACAGTGTTATTTCTTGTTAACTGATCACACCTGTTTACTGAGTAGGAACAGCACAATAGCACACCCCAAGCCACCTACAAGCATTTAAAAGAATAAAAATAGGCAAATGAACATTCCAATTAGAATAATGTAGTTCAGGAGAAAAGAAAAAAAAAAGTTCCTGACCAGCTACACGAGAACACCCTCCATTCACATGACTGCTTCACTGTTTGCAGGGAATTCTTTAAAAGCAGCTCCCTCTCTATGTTGGATTCTTAAGACAGCAAATGTCTCCATTTTGACCTTTGGAATTTGACAGGTATAGTTCATTAAAGCCTGTTTTAAAAATAAAGGCCTGCTTTTCCTAAAGATAATCAATAGGCGTCATCAACCAGGTGGTTCCTCAGCAGTGCTGGGGCAAGTCTTTGGTTTTGAAGGATCCAAGATGGTACTGTTAGATAGCACAACTAGCAAGATTGCCGTTATGTTTTTGTTGTTGTTTGTTTTAAATGTTTTTACATACAGATCATAATCCTTTGAATGATAGATAGGGCATTAATAAGAGAATGTCAATGAAAAAATAAAAGTTACTTCCATAACTAGAGCTTCAAGAGACTATTTTAAATTTACTCCTGAAGCGTACTGTTCAACACATAAGAACGCCTTTCAAAGCTAGAATTTTATTTATAATAAAGCATGCATTACTTGGTGAAGTTGGCACTTCAAACACTGACTATGTCCCATGCTAAGTTCTGAAACTGTAATGTTATTTTATTTTATAGGAAGAGTAAGATAAACATACGTACCTACCTTTGCACAGATTTACAGTTACTTATTTCAACAGTGCAAAACACGTTGCAACTACTTAACTTTTTAAAAACTTTTTTCCCCATTTTCTATGTTACAACTAAATTACAGGATATCCAAAGTAAGTTTAAGTCTAAAAGTAAGCCAATCAGCAGCCAATCTGTATATTGTTTTTGTCTTCTGGTTTTGGCTACAAGTGTACTGTAACATAAAAATCAAAAATGATATCCTTGACGTATCTCTAGATCTGTTATTAATGTCAAAATGGAGAGCAAAGGCTGACACCTGATGAGTGTTAGTAAATTAGGAAACAGAATTTATATGTAACATCAGAAATAAGATTTATACATTTGTTCTTTAGGAGAGGAAATGCTAGTATTCCCACCAGTTGTCTTTAATTCTAGCTTTGGTAGGTTTCCTGGGGCTGTGACAGATAAGTCAGTTAAATAAATAAATGCACTCCCCTCAGTAGTAATTTTACCCAATTCTTACATTCTCAATTTTAAAAAGTGTTTAAAAGAAAATAAACTTAGCTCTGCCTACTTTGCTATTTTTTCTGATGTCACTGATAACTTTGAGGCATGATAAAATTATGTTCAGCCTCAAACCCTTAAAATGAATTATAATGCTGCTCAATCTTGCTCATGCATTTGTTTGCTTTGACATGCTCTTTCCTGTTAATAATTATTAACTTCCTCCATTGCTGTTAAAAGACTAAAAAGGGGATGGAAAAAAAGAGACCAAAAAAAACCCAGAAAGAATGGAAAAAAGGCAAAAGCACTTCCCTGGGGGAAAAATTGTGTCAGGATAGACAGATAGTGTTATTGTTGCACAGTTATTTAATAAAAGTATTCTTATATGTTATATTATTAACAATAATTTAATTAAAAACCCAAAATACTCTATTGTTTCATTTCTCTGTTAATATTTCTCTCTCCTCTAAGAAAATGCTGCAGGAAGTATGGATCCTCTTGATCTCCAGCAATACAAGAGAATAAAACTTCCACACAACATGATGGCAATATGAAAAAGGAGTTCACATGTATTATTTGCAGTGACACAAGAATCTACAAAACACCTATATTATAGGTCATTCTTTTCATTATACTATTGTTGAGTAACACACTGCTACAAAAGGACATGCCAGCGTGAAGAGATTGAGGAAGGGGTCAGAATTAACAGAAGAGTGCACTTATTCTGAGGCCTGAAAATGAGCACTGTAGTTAGGTATCCTTTAGTTCCAGCGGAATGAAATATGCCGAGGGCGGTCACCACCTTCCTTTACCAGGGGCTTGTGGAATTCCCTGCCGGCACGAGAATGGATAGCAGCCCAGCAATATTCACAGTAATACTGCAGACAGGTAACATTAGCACAGAAAAATGGGGCAAATTTTCCCCCACAACGGGCCCCTTGACATTCATCACACAGCTGATCATCCAAGACATATGGCTTAACTTCCACCTGTAATCAAACATAAGAGAGGTCACACATTACAGTGACTGGACAAGGCAACTCTTACCATATGCACAGTCCATTTCCATCCACTGAGAGAATCTTTGCCAAGGATCCCAAAAAGGAAGCATCAGTAACTCATTTACTGAAATTAAAGTAGTACATCTTTTAAGAACTTCTTATGGGGCTTTTATATTTACCACTTTCCATTTTATTCTTAAACATATACTCTTCAAAGGGAAAAAAGGATTTCAACTGAAATCATAATGTGAAACCAACTATTTAGACTATAACATTGTGAGATTAAACCATAGATTCTTTTCATAGACATAAACCCTCACTTTAATTACTGGACCTGGATTTTTTCCATATGTGGAATTATAATTTAAACAAAACCAAGAGCTTTCAAGTTCTACAACACAGCATTTCATGAATCCAGAAGGTAGGAAGATGCTTGACTGCTGCATCACAAACTTCTGAGTTATCATGAAGTCTGACTCTGAGTTTCTATTTACAGTGTCCATACCTCAGGTTAAAATTATAACCTGGAACTCTGGTAAAACAAGATTTAACTATGGTACTCACAATCTAAAAACTATCTTTGTTTTTGTCGGTAAGAATGGTTTACTTGAGTCTAAAAGTCAAGTGACTTTATTAAACCGGGCTTGTTCCAGTGTTCAATAGGCCAACTTGTCATTTGAGCCTCTTAAGCATTAAAAATAACCTGGCTATTAACTCACTAGCTAGAAAAGAGTTGGTTATTTTTAGTTTTGGAGAGGCTCCTGCTGAAACTCCCTCATACCAAGCTATCATTACTACTTGGGTCATCCAGTTCTGACAACGAGTCCTGATAAAGGTGAGCCACAAATCAAAGGACAAATGTGACATGGATGACCAGGAAAAGCAGACACAATAAGATCATTAGGCTTCAGGTTCCCAGGCTGCTTCACAATATCTACAGTGTACTAGCCAGAGGACTTCATTGTAGAGGGACACAAATTAAGTCTGAATTTCTAATCATGAACCCAACTCTGAAGTTTATGTTGGAATGCAGCAGTGAGATGTTTTTAAGTGTGAAGAAAAAGTAACTAGGCATGTCAGTGTATACTTCACCTCCTAATCTTACCTCTTTTCCTCATGTTTATAATACATATCTGTTTAATGTAATCAAAATATTGGAGGATGACCACTATTAAAAAGATTTTACTATCACTGAAGTAGACTATACTTAACATAAACAGTGAGTGTAAATCACTATTGATTTGAAAGTTTCTACATCTCAGATTGAGAACAGTACAATAAAATCAATCAATAAAGACTTCTGAGCATGATGCACTAAAGTGCTGGATATCAAAGTCAGTGCTAATGAAACTGTCAGTCTGTCATGAAATAAAGAGCTCATACCAGAATATAAATCAACACAGAGCTTTCTTCCTCAAGGTCTTCCTATATAAAACAATTGTTAGCTGAACCAAACACTATGCTTAGTAATGTAGCTGATATACATTCTGGTATACATTTTCTATCTCACTCTAAACTAGTAACAGTTGTGGATGGGCATTTGGTTCACACGCCACACTTTGAGTAGTTCTGGTATAAAACATGTTTCTATGTACCAGAACATAAGCTCATGAGGGCAAGGACTCTTATCTTAGGAATTGAACATTAATTGTATGTATGAAACACAAAGATAAAAAAATTTGTGAATAAAAAAATACAACACATAGTGGAATATAGAGTTTCTGATAAAATATACTGAAAAAAAGAAAAAGTTTGTGTTTTTTCTCCCTCCAGTCTTGTGATTCAGAGGATAACCCAATAAAGATAAATTTAAAAAGTGCTGAAAACAATGCTAAGTATCACTCCTAATTTTAAGTGGAAAAACAAACTACAAATGAAAAGGCGATTTATTTTACCTAATTTGTTTAAATGAAAACTTTCTAAAAGAGGTAGTCCTAAAAGTGAATCAGTTCAATGTTACTATATAGTGTATTAAAAAATAATGTTATGATAGTAATGATTGTTACAGAGAAAAACAACAGCAGCAACAACAAAACAACATCAGCAGATGTCAAGTGCTTTTATGTTTGGATTCCTGATATACCGAGTACATAAGATTCGGCAAGTACTTATCAACAAACTGACTGAATAAATGTGTGATATAACTTAGGAAAGATAAACTCATGTAAATTTATTATAGTGTTTTCCTTAAGCTACTCAAAAAAGTAAAAGAGAAGAAATTCATAGGAAATTCTTAAAATAAGCATGTAAGACTCCATAAATGTAACTATGAGCTGTCAATTTATTGTCATATACTACTGTCCCTCTTCAAACCTTAGCAATGACATATTTAAAGGACCATTCTAGGACTTTCCAGATTGTAGTCTAGGACTTACCCGTTTATCTATCTCTCCATGCTGCAGTTGAACAAAGCGGGCACTGATAGCAGCTATGTAACTCTGTTGATTAGAGAATGCAACTCGCCCAGCTCCTTTTGGGTATTTTAGTTCAGGATCTGTATCAATGCCAGCATAGCACACACCTCCATACAATCGATCCATTATCATGGCAAGCTCCACTAAATAAAATGAGCAAAGGGGATATTTGAAATCAGAAAAATTCACCTCACTCACCAATGATTTGTTTCATCAAAAGTAGTTCATTTGTCCTTTGAATTCAAATCACTATAACAGTTATTAAAATCAAACCCATTGCAACAACCAGTTGCCCAATGGGTTCACTGCTACTTTTTATGAGCAGAGCTCTGCTAACTATTTTACAGTATGTTCTCTTAATTTTCACAATGACACTACAGAGTAGGTAGCAATTTCCTGGGGAAACTGAGACTAAGAGAGGATGACCAGTTTGTTCCAAGTCAGAGATCTTTAAGTGCTAGTGCTTGGCTTAGTGCCCAACTCTATCTGCTCTAGACCATTTACCACCATACATTTATTAGTTAACAAGATATTATTTACTATAAACATTTAATTGAACATTAGAAAAGTAATTTGTTAAATTACATTTGGGTCCTTTCTAACTTCTATTCAAAAAACCTGTTACCTATCTTTCATTGACATAATGAAAGTATCTTCTCCATGAAAGGCTGCATTCATTTTATGTTCTTTATCTCATTTATACCATTAAATCTCAATGTAATTTTGCCTATATTTCTCTAAAAACATGATGCACTACTGAGAACCCTAATATATTTCAGAGCTCAGTAAAAAGATGTTGAGCAACACTGAACATCTCAATACATAAACTATTCTAAAGAGCTTTCTTTCCCCAGACAATGATGACAGTGATAGTGATTAGCATCATGAGGCATTACACTAAGCACTTTACATTGGTTATCTCATTTAATACTCAAAACAACTATTTAAAATACATTTTTCACTCCACTTGACCAATGAGGAAAGTGAGAATTAGAGAAATTACGTAATTTGTCCAAGGTCATTTAACTATTAACAGCACCTTCGAACCTAGACACTCTGACTTAAGAACTCTCATTATCAGAAATTAACTCAAATGCTACTGCAGAATTTATCCCGAAGATATTTACATTTCTTATGCGTAAGGATAGAGAGATATTAGTTTGTTTAACCATACCAGCTCGTAATGGTCGAGGAACACCACCAACAAATATAGTTTTTCGTGGGTCAAGTGGCTGGGAGCCATCCATCACAAAATCACTGTCACTAAGATTCCAGGGCCGAATCTGTACCTAGTGAATATGAAAATTAAAATGTCATATTTTTTAAAGTTTAAAATTATTGCAATCAATAAAGGTATAACACTAAAAGACTTAAAACTAGTCTATCACAAATCCTTTATTTCATCTTTTAGAGTAAATTGAACCAACGGAAAGTGTTAAACTTCCTTGTCTATGATAAGCCAAATCCCTTAAACTTACCTATAAAAGATAAATTATCTGTAAATTAACTAACTAGCTATTCTCCACTGTACTGGGCTTCCAGTCTACCCAATCCTCCTATACATACTTTATTTACATTTAGCAAAGTACTGCATATAGGGTTACATTTTATGTCCAATCAGCCTATGTCTAGGAAATGCAAACTAATCCTGAATACTAATATGCTACATTATTTCAAATAGCATTTCAAAGTGAAATTTTGCTGATATTTGGCAAAAACTTTGTGATAAATACTTCAGTGTGACCATTAGTTAATCAAGAATGATGTACTAATGTACAATTAATTGCATTTATTAATTGTTACAAATACCCACATCAAAGGCAAAGTTGACAGCAAGGTCTTCTCAACTATGCATATCAACCTAGGCCACAGGTACACAATTCTTATACCTGTGGGAATTGGCAAGGAATGTAGACAATAGAAAGAATCCAGGCCATAGAGACACTTAACAAGAACGTTCTGGGGGGCCTGGGATTTAGCTCAGTGGCACTGTGCCTGCCTTGCAAGTTCAAGGTCCTGAGTTCAATCTCCAGTACCAAAAAAAGAAAAAAAAAAAGACAAACAACCCAAGACACAAACAGAAGCTCCATAAATTATTGCTTGAGCTGGACCCACTGATAACATTGTGCACTGCACCCTTCACTAGAGCTGATTGATAATAACTTGTTGATTTACTGGATTCATTAAAACAGGCCAGTTGCAATCATTCTAAAAACTAAAATTTATGCTAAAAAAAAAAACTTCAAAAGGGAAAAAGACAGTATGCAATGTATCTGTATACGTATATACATGATCCGTTCTACTTTAGGAGAGAACCAAATACAAAAGTTAAGGATAACACTGAGTAAAAAATTGATCAAAGAGAAGAGGGAGAGAGGCATAGAAGATATTTATGATTTAAATTCTGACATTCAGAGAAAATTCAGCAACTTTAATAAAATGCATTCTCAAGCAAAGTGTTTATTTTTATAATTTAAATTCTTATCACTACATATTTGCAGTATGTAATGATTGTTTTCATTGTGGGGAGTCGGTACATGTACATAATACATCTGTCTTTAAATAGCAAAGACTTATAAATATTTCCACTAACCAAAAATTCAATGTCAAAATGATATACATAGGTATACAGAATGTCAATGTTGGGAACACAACCATAAAGACTTTTATTTAGATTCTACTTATAAATATGTCAATTAACCACAACAGCCCAGATGTTTTTCAAAAAGAGAAGATGGAGGCAAAACAAAAAAGCTATTTTATGATAGACTACACTTACTGGCTTATCCTTGATGGTGGGACTTGATACACATAGGTAGAGTTTTCCATCTTCTTCAATACATGCATCAATGAGAGCCTGAACAGAGCTTTCATCTTGAAATAGCAGGAATGCATAGCCTGACAAAAAAGCAAAGAAAAAAAAAAAGGATTTATATGTTTTCCTATCTTTTTGTAATACTTTAAATGGTAGAAGGGATAAGTAAAACTAAAGAAGAAAAAATAGAAAAATGTGAAAAAAAATTAAAACAATATTCAAATACTGATATTATCAAGATACAGTCCATCTTGATAGTATCTTAAAACATCAGTAATATTAAATTTGAATTAAAAGTATAGTAAGTAGAGGACTGGGATTTATCTCAGTGGTGCTGCTGCCTGCTTTGCAAGTGCAAGGTCCTGATTTCGATCCCGAGTACAAAACAAAACATATAGATAGATAGATAGAGATATATATAGAGATATATCTATATATCTAGATAGAGATATATATCTCTATATATAGTAAGTAGAAACTTTAAAGACACATTTAGAAAAATGAGTTCAACAAAATTTTTTGCAGTGAAGGTAAATATTTATGAAAGGTCTAAACAGTATAGTATATTGAATCTTGAGAATTACCTTTAGGAGGAAAATAGGATTTGCTCTCTGCTTTATGAGGCCAATCCACAATCAAAGGGCCAAAGCGACGAAAACTAGCTGTGATCTCATCTAATGGAACAACAAAAAAAGTAGATTTAAATATTGTTAGGGTCATTTCTTGGAAGTATTAATCTTTAAAAAAATTTCAAATCCACTCTCTCCAAGAACAGTACAACAGTCTTACACCCCTTACACCCTCTTCAACTAGATTTACCATCTGTTAATATTTGGCAGATTTGCCTTCACTCTCTACCTTCTCTCTTCCCCTTACTCCCTCTATCTGTATGCTTGCAAAAGTCTACCTAGCCACTTATCCATCTATCCATCCTTCCATCCACCCATCTATCCATCCATCCATCCTTTTCTGACATGATGCTCTGTAATCTCAAAATATTACTGTTTGTTATTTGCTCAAAGTAAGGTTACCTTTACACCACCATGTACAACCTTCATAACCAGCAAATCAATTTGGATACAACACTACTACCCAAATCACTGACTATTTAAATATCAAACTATCCCAATAATATTTTTTTCCTTTCTGATCCAGAGTCCTACTGAGAACACAGGTTGCATTTAGTTGTCACATCACTGAAGCACGGGTCTTTTTCAATTTGGATAGCTCCTCATTCTTTCCTATTTCACACTGCTATGGTATGAATGTTTGTGCACACCTCCCTGCCAAATTCACATTTTGAAAACTAATTCCCAGTGTGAGGATACATGGGGTGGCACCTCTGAGGGTCACTAGGACACAGCCCTCATCAATGTCATTAGCACTCTCATAAAAGAGTCTCCAGAGAGCCCTCCTGTTCCTTCTGCCATGTAAGAATATAGTGAGAAGATTACCTTGTGCTAAGAAAGCAGGCCCTTTCAAGACACTGAAATGTTCAGTCTTCAGAAATGTGATAAATTTCCATTTATAAGCTACCCAGTCTATGGTGCTTTGTTATAGCAGCCCAAAATGATTAATGACCCTAATCTTTGGGTCTGTTTTCTATGACTAGATTCATATTATGTATTCCAAACACAAATATCACCATAATGATGCTGTGGTGCCCTGTCTTACCACTGCATGTTAATCTTGATCACCTGGCCAAGTTGTATCTGCCTGTTTTTTCTCCCCTAGACCATGAAATAGGACAGTCTATTCTGCTATACTTGTTTCCATAATATAGTTCAGCTCATGAGAGAATGATAAATAGGAAATATCAGAATGATATGGAGGTTGTATTGGTTATTTAGTGATTTTTCCTATACAAGTTCAGCTAGCATAGTGAGAACACAATTATAATCATCAGGAAAGAAAAAGTCCCCCACCTTGTGTGCTGCACATGCAGGAACAATTCCAGTTCTATTATAAGAAAATTAAAAGGCAGGTCCTTTCCATAAGAGAGATGTAACCTCAAACCCAACAGTGCTCCTAGCAGACTGCACATCCTCAAGGGATCAGAGGCTCATTAATCTGTGTTGTCTTCATGCTTGCAAGCCAGCATTTCTGCTCAATAGGTTGTTGGCATTATCAATATTCCTTTACACAATGCCCAAGCATTCTGAGTTACTTGCTTGAGTTGTCCAAGTTATGTCCAAGGTACTAATTCTCCCGCTGTTTATGTTTCAGGTACAAATTTCTCGTTTAAACAATCTGCTTCTAACTCTATTTTTCTCAAAATTCCTGTAGTTTTTAGTGTACAATTCTACAGAATACAATATTCAAGCTGTGCTCTCTGATAGCAGGATGGAGACTGAATCAGAATAAACTGCAATTTCAGCAGTCTTTACCAAGACATTTATTGTAAGAAAAACAAAACAACTAGCCCCTATTTTATTTCAATATTTGGCTTCCTAGAACTATTTTTGTCTCCACCTTCCATAAGATTGATCATCTTAAGTAAAATAAAGTGGCTTGATAAGAACTTACAGATTTTAATGAAGTGATTCTATTTTCATAACATCAATTAGCTTATTTCTATTTCTTTTCAAGAAACCAAGACAAAATAAAAGTAGGAAGAAAGCAATTGAACGTGTAGGATGGTTATGTGGTCTACTTCGATCTTACTGGTCATTCAGACCCAGAGATCAACTGCATATTTGGGGATAATTTGTCCTTCTTAATCTTCACATGGTTCCCACTCAATTCTCAGGTCAAATACCACTTCTTCAAAGAGACTTTCCTTAACTACCTGACCTGCATTGCTCAATCACATCTTCCTGTTTATTCTTCCATATTTACCCTGATATTTTTTATATGTTTGCATGTTTTTTTATGGGCCTCCTTCCACTAGAATGTAAACTCTATCAAGCAGAGGGCTTCCATCTTGTTTACTAACTGTAAAGAAGATTAAGAATAGTCCATTGTGTTTAGAAAGCATGTAAGCATTTGCTGAATGTTATAACTTAAAAATTCCCTTTTTTATAGTTCAACTGCTGGTTATATTTTTCCAAAGTGTATGCCTATTCTAAGATTTTAAATTCAGAAACAAACTATACATTTATGAAGCTCACAGAAGATGAGAAAGAAATGGGAGAACACATAATTGAATTTGGCCAAGGCAGCACACACAGACAAAAAGCCCCAGGTTTGCCCACAACAATGGAATCTGGGGAAATTTTTCCAGTGATATTTACTCATTGTCAATGAGCCAGTTCCTTGCTTTAGCTAGTTCCCACAGTCCTACTCCCTCCTTCCTCCTGTGAAGTAATCTTATTCTATGATAAAAAAAGACAGTATAGGGAACAATCCAGTCAAGACTGAATAACTGAAGCAAGATAATATTACAGCTACAACAAAAATCACTATCTATGAGCTCCCTACTCTACTAGCCCACCCTCTAGGCACCTGCTCTAAATATTTCTCACTATACTGACCTTCATCAATGTCTGGAGGAAGTCCTCCTACAAATACTTTGCGAGAATATCGTTCCACTCTTTCTCCATTCTGGTGAGTGAAGCAGTGAGGTGAACCCAGACCACTATGAAGAGGCTGATCCCCACGGCCATCATCCAAGAATCCATCTTCCATTGGAAACAGTGAAGACTGACCTGAAACAGAAAGCAGGAAAGAAAGCTAACAGAAAATGCTGTTTGCCACTGATTATTATACACAAGAAACAAAGAAAAAGCAGATTCAATAAAACTGCTTCTTTTGTTTTTCCCACCGAATAATAGGATTAGTTAGAAAATGCTCTTGAGTTCTCGTCACCTTTAAGTCCCAACTGAATCGGAGAGAAAGTACATGGTTAAATAGAGGGTTGCTTGAGTACCCCACTGGGATTCCAAAACTACAGCAAGGTGACATGGAAGTACAGTAGAAGAGAACACTCTTTTGAAAGCAGTTGTCAGCAGGCTATACTGCCTTGGCAGGGCCCCATGGCCACTGGCAACCTTAATATGGTCACTAAGTATTAAATTTAGCTGTAAGATGCAAGTCACTTAAGTTTCTTTAAAAAGTCAAAGTTCTTTAAGTTTCTTTAAAAAGCCTGCATAATTTCCTAGGAATGTGCTTAAAATAATAAATTGATTTTTAAGTGATTATTCATTTTAGTTTAACTTTAACTAATGGGCTATAGGAAAAAAAACATTTAATGCTGTTATTCAATTTCATTGTCTGTCTCATGGAATTTAAAATGTGGAGATATGCTAAAGATATATTAGATATATCATTAACTGAGTAATTATCAGCTTCCAACTATGTCATACATTTCTAAAATTTATCATTAAATTGTCCATTGAAAATCATACCATCCAGAATACATAACGAGAAAAGATCAGATATGCCATTGTATGTAAAAGTCTTCCCATATTTGCCTGATAACAAAATTGGAACTTTTATATCATAAACAAAATACAGAGATACAAATAACTGCAGAATCTCTGGAGCACTGCTTTAATCACTGTTCAGGTTTCCAATTTACTGCTAGGTCATCTAGAAATGTACCTCAAGTGCTCCTCTTTCATCCAAACATTCCAGTGTGCTTTTGTCGCTACACTTGTCTTTAACTTTTATCACTAAATATAAATAACAGTATCATTGTAGCAATTTAGCCTATAATACTGTACATCAAAGATAAAAATAATTATAAAATTGGAAGTTACTTCCTGAATGATCTTCAAATATCACTTACATTTTAAATCCAAGCCATTTAACTGTTAGTCTCTTATAAAATGACAGTTATTACAGACAGCAAAAATAAGGTTTGGTTTACTCAGGCATCTTTAGGAAACGAGCCTTTAAAATTCCCTAATACTTCTACAGTGTTTCCCTCCAATGTTTGAAATTTATAGGATTAATCATTTATTTAGTTCATTTCTAAACAAATGTATTTTACTTAATAGAACAAGATAGTATGTTACTTAATTATAATTAAATTTCCAAGATAATGAGGTATTTAGAGACTAGTTTGACTCTATTATTCCTTTTAAAGATTTTTTTCTCCTAAGAAATTTTTTTCAGGAAAAAAATCTTTACTGTACATAAGTTGAGCATCTAATAAAATATAGGGAAATTATTTGAATTCAAATTCAAATGCTACTGTTTTGGTAATTTGTTCTGGTAACTACAGCTCATTAATTCCTTCAAATTAGAATGTCTAAGATGTTGACTACAACACAGACACAATGTAAGGTTCAAAGCCATGTTTGATGTCCCCTGTCCCTTTCCCCACAAAGGTTAAAAACTGAGCAAGCTTGGATCCTCTCCAATTAGAACTGACACATTGAAAAGTTAGAAACAATAATGTTACCTCTCCTTCGCCCATATGTCCTTGCTGCATGTCAAATGAGAAGAAAAACAAAAAAAACAAAAAAATAACCTTTCAAACATTGTTAAAAGAATCAACTGAGATTTCATCTATCAGCTTTTGAAATGGAAAAAAAAATGGCCATATACTTCATTTCCTAGTAAACGTCTCAAAAACAAGGAATTGGACCATGAAAAGTCAATTTAATGCATTTTCTTCAAAGTTCTTCAAAGACACTATACAAGCAGTACTCACAATATATGATGATTTTTTATTTTTTAAATTATTACAGAAAAATACACATTGCCTTTGATTTCCATTAGACAGCTCCCCACTCACTTCAAACACACTTGTCTCATCATTCTTGCTACCCTCTGAAGCAATTCCAGCAGGCCTCTTTTATACCTTTACAATTCATGATCAAAACTCAGTGAATGCTGCCAAGATGTGCCATCCAACAAAAAGGCAAACTCATAAAAACATTAAAGTGTGTCCACATCCACCTTATTCCCTGGATCTTGAACCTTGCGACTACTGGCTCTTCTCCAAAGTAAAAATGACCATGAAAGGAAAACAGTTTGAAACAATTCAGGATATCAAGGTAGCCAGGATAGCACAACTAAAGATACAAAAGAGGAGGACATCAAGAAATGCTTCAGAAAGTGTCAAAAAAACATGGGATCAGTGTGTTCAAAGTGAGGGGGAGTATTTTGAGGGGGGTTAATGGCAATTTTACTTTTACTGTAACAATCTTTTTAAATTTACATATTCACCATATTTTCCAAACACACTTAGTAAATCTTTATCGAAGTTTGGTTTTTTTTTTTTTTTTTTTTTTTTTTTTTT